CCGTAAAAACCTACTTTTTAACTTGTTACCAGTATATTGGACACATAGAATACAATCACTGCTACCACAGGTCAAAATTTCCATGAACATGTAGGTGACAGGTTGCATTTTTGAACTACTATCAGAGAATTTGTAGAGTACCTCTGGTAGGGACACGTGGTAACTCTAGGAGGACTGGTTTTGATTTTTATGAGAGCAACAGTTGTGCAGAGAATCCAGAGCAGGATGAGTGACTCAGTATATTTTTAATTCCTTTTAGAAGTGAAATCAGAATTCCACTGCAGAACCTGGATTTATGTTAAATCGCAAATTGTGTGTATGTGTGTATGTCTGAGAGAGACAGAGAGAGAGAGGGCAAGCTCTAGGGTGTTTTGTCAGAATCCATTCCAGAGCAGTAGCTTGGGCTCTTTTATATTGCCATATAGTTATTGGCGGATGTGTATTTAAGGCAGCTTCAGAGTTTACAATAGTTATTTAAGAAAGATAAATAACTCAGACAGATGAATACACCATACAGGGTGTGAAAAATGGAAGGGTATGTCAGACTGAGCAGCATCTCTGCTCAGCAGAACTGTGATCCAGTGACCGTTAGGCAGATCCCAGGAGGTTTCCGGAGGAAGGAGGACTGAAACAGAGGATGAGGAGTGAAGAGGTTCTCTAGCAGGGGAAAGGGCAGGTAAAACAAAAGGCAGTTATAAATATCTTTTAAAAATGCTTTAGAATTACTGTTCATGCTACTTTTTTGCCTCTCTGAGGTAGATTCCAGATAAATGTAAATAGCAGGACAAGTAACACTTCCAGTTTCAGCAACCGCAGTGATTTCAGAAAGGCTTTTGAGTAAACAATCTCTCTCTCAGATGCATTTCCATATCTTTCCTCTCCACCTTCACGTACACGTGCCACAACCTGAGCACGGTGTAAGGAGTTGGTAACTTTCAAACTTTACTCTGTCTTCCTTACTATGAAATATTCCAGCCATAAGGGATTACGGTAGAAGCTTTCTATCTTCTGAAACGTCTCTGCTCCAAGGCTTTTTGTTTCTTAGCTTGTTTTTGGTATGCTTCAAGTCTTCATTGTGAAAGTCAAGTTATCACATAGGTATTTCTTGCAGGAAGCATTCATACCAAGTTCTTTTTGTAGTGTGAAGCGGGGAATTTCTGCACACAGGGCTTGAAACATTAGTTGCATTCAGACAGGAAAAGTTACCTACATTTCTTTTCACTTAAGTCATTCCCTTCCTCTTTAATGCCTCCACATCCACTTCAGGGACAGGTAGCTTAATTTCTATCATCTGTAGCTTTACAGAGTATTAGCTTTGCTACACATGCCAATGATTGAGCTATACTAGATATGCTTGAAAAAGCCTACAACCTACAGTGCTCATTCAGGAAACTCGGAGTGAAGTAAATCCATATGTGTGTTAGAAAGTCAGTGTTCAGATACAGAGCTCGTGTTTTCTTGCTCTTGGCACTATCATGCACAATCCTTTAAAGAGTTGCAGCAGTGATAGGATTTTTGATAACAAAACATGTAGTACGCTCATATACTAACACTGATGTTTCGGTGCTTTAAAAAATGTTCTTTTTCATTTGGTTAGACATTCAGAACATTTTCTTACCCTGAAATTGTTTTAAACAGACACTTAAATAAAAATAACATACACAATTAAGGAGAAAAAGAAGGGGCTGAGATTCTGTGTTAGAATTAAGCTACAAATGCTGTGTTATCTGTAAATTTTGTTTAACATTTTCTGAAAAAATTCCTAATCAAGATAGAGCTTTTACTGAATTCTTTGGTTGCTCCAAAGCACTTGCAGAACAAAAATAACCTCCTATAAAATTCCATCTGACTTTTTCAGAGTCTGTGATTCAGAAAGCATCACATTTGTCACAAATTCATGCATGCTCAGCATCTAAATAGACTGTCAGATGTATGTGATATATACATGAAGTAGAACCAGAAACCAGAGTGTCTAATCCTATTCCCTTTACTTGTATAAAATCCAACCATTTCATCTCATAGGAATAAAGAAAAAGCATATCTAGTAGGGTTTTACATAGCTGCATTTCATATACAGCTTGACAACTGGGCCAGCAAGTAGCTGTAATTTTAATGGGTTTGCCATTTATATCACTGTATTTCAACAGCAATTTACAAAGTAAACATCAAGTAACACTAAAAAAACCCCTCTGCTTAAACACCTGAAACATTTAAGGCAATACATAGAACTAATAGAGATATAAAATGGAGTAAGATGGCATTTTCCAGCTGCTACAGCTAAAGTGTTGGCTGCGCGATGATAGTTTTTCTAGGTTGCTCTTCATGAGATGTTCCCTAGAAATTTAGTCTTAATTTTGCATGAATATGAAATAGAATGTGACACCTAAGTTTAGAATACTGCGCCTTTTTAGAGTAATTATTCGTATGTTTGTTAGTTTTCTTAGAACAACTGCGCACTAAGGTATGCAGCTTCAGCTGGCTACACCTGGCTTTGAGAGTTTACTATTCATTACACATATCATACCCAAGAAATCAGCTAAAATATCCTGAATTTCCTCTGTGCATTTAGGTGGTCATTTTTGAAAATTCCTCCGGAAACACTGTTTTGTTTCCTGACTGCCCATTTTTACTTCCAGTCCAGGTAAAATTAGGTAGCAGTCGTTCAAGTGGTCTGAGGAAAATTTTTCAGTGGAAGATATTTGGTCTTATTGTCCCAGTTCAGTCTCCTCGCACTCACTTGAAAGCAGAAAGTGATAAATGCCGTATCCTGGCCAATACTCAGCGTTCGGTGGTTGGAGAGACTGCTGTCTCACGTGTCAGAGCAGACAACTGTCTTGAAGGGTGGGTACTCTCAAGCTGTGGTTACAATTTTAACTTAATCGGCCTTCCTGGAGATGAATCATAGTCCCTTTGAGGATGCAGGCTCCTGCTTGTGCCCTGGTGTACCGAGCAGCTGCCATTGAATCATTTTCATCAGCCACTCCTTCAAGTTAACCTTAATTTGCTAGCCATAAAAATGGTAGGAAAGTACTCCCTCCCAGCCCTCTTGTTGATACTTCTTCATTTAAATACTGCACAGTATTTTTCAAACTTTATTATGGTTTGATTAAATTGATTTAACCAATGACGTCTACTTATTTATCTCCTTATTTGTTTTAAAAAAGAAAATTGATTCACAGTTGCCTTAAAGCAATAGAGAGACAACCTGAAAGTCTGCCTAATGTTAAATATGTCATTATTTTTACTGCTTGGTTTCTTTCTTATTTCTTCTTGCAATTTTCTTAGTTACCTATTGATTTGTGCACGTCTTTGGGAAAGCTACTCAATTTCTTTGTATCTCAAGCTACCAATCTGCAAAACAAATACAAGAAATCATTGCATATCAAGCTGATGATGCTTAAGTGTGTTTCTATAACATTTTGAGTTTCTCAGATGAAAACACAGTGTGCTGTTACTGCTGTTATTCTTAACTTTGCAAGTAAAATCCAGTCTTCTTATTCAAGATCTACTGTGAATATAAACTACTTACATTAGTTCTGCTGCATGCACCCAAAACTGATCGCAACGATAGAAAACTCAGGTCCAGTACCCCAAAAAATAAGATCACTGTAGTGGCTTGAAATATAATATTATTGTAACAGTAATGGCTAAGACATTTGACAGGTGTAGAGATGATCAAGCTTCTTTCTGTTTCAAATGACTAATCAGAGAAATTCCTCAGAACCTCCAGAGTCGAGTAGCAGTTTGCATCCATTTTCAATTACTTGATTTCTTTCTTTCTTTCCTTCTTTTGCTTTTTTTTAAGAAATTAGGAACAGAAGCTTCTGGTTCAAACTGAAAACATATCTCAGTATGCTTGGAAGTTATCCAAATAGCATCTGCCACAGTATTTTGTCTATCCCTAAAAGTTTTTCTTTTCATGATAAATTTGTGCAGTATGATACAATTAAATGCACTTCCCATGGAGCATCGAGGAAGTCTGGCTGTCTCTTTGGATGACTTTTTCAGACTATTTCACACCATCATGTCTGCTTGGCATAATATCATATAAGGGATATACAACATTTCACCTATATTTTTTGGTATGTTTCTGCAAATAAACAGTTACTAAAAATCGATTTCAGAAGTAAAATTTTAGCATACTGATTGAAGCTGTAGAACAGTGCTCTTATCCTATTTCCTTTATAATATTTTATCTTTATAGTATTTTATCCTTCTATTTTGTATAATATTCATGAGATGTTTTACATGTCACGCTTGCTCATTTAGAAGGCGCAAAAGATAATTTCCTCTGCTTGAAATAACCACATTAATGTGTAATCTAAGAGGGACCTAAAGCCTTTCAGCCAAAACTTACTAGTTTGTCAAAACTGGAGATGCAGCAAGGGTCACCCTTTACATTACTTAATTTTATTTTCTGTCTATGGCAATAGTGATATTACTGAAATTAATCCAAACAACTAATTGTTCTGATTTCAGCCATGATTCCTGTCTGGGTAGGAAAGACGAGTACTTACTGCTCTTCCTTTTTTTAAGACGGGGCAATGGCCTGAGCCACCAGTGGGTTTTGGTGGCCCGGGTTGCCTGCAAGGGCTGCTGGAGCCCGGGGTGGCCGTCCCCACTGGTTGCTTTGTCCCAGCGCTGGCAGGTCCCTGTCCCCTGTCCGGTGTGAGGACCCGGCACGCGGCATCTGGCGGCTGTTGGGCAGGCCCGGCCCGGCCGATGTAACACTGTTTGTAATGAGAAATCTAAACAGGGAATGGCAGCGAGGCATGACAGGAATGTGTTTCCATTGGAGAAGCCCGTGCAGAGAAAAAGCATAAGCAAAGCCATGTCCAGAAGGCCTTTCAGCTGGCCAGGACGGAAGACTGATGTTATTGTACACGGGCTGTCACGCTGCCAGCCCTCCCTCACGGGTTTGTTTTCTCTCATGCTCTCCCTCTCCCTCTCCCTCTCCCTCTCTCCCCTTGCCTTCCTCCCGGGGCCGGCTGTTTGCTCAGGTGGACAGTGACACCGTTTGGAACGAGCTGCACTCGGCCGGGGCGGCACGCATGGCGGTGGGCTGTGTCATCGAGCTG